CAATGTATAAGCTGGTGTGTGTGGGGTGACCCTTAGAGGGGGATCTTCCCCTGCAGGCTCTTGTGCCTATTGAGAGCTCCCTTTGGATGTGGGGCTAATTGGCTACTGCTCTGGTGTGGTCTGAGGCCAGCTTCTGGGTGTGTTGTTTCTGGTGCCTCTTGGGAGGGGCTCCTGTGCAGGCCAATTTCAGCCTGTGACCAGCCCAGGACTACCTGGTAGAAGCTACAAAGCTATAAGCAATTGGTTACCTTTTGTGCTGGAACTGGAGGCATTTGGGGTGACCTCACTATGAACCAAAATCAGCTGTCACATCCTAGGGCCTGTTGCCAACTACTGGCTACCTGTAAGGCTCAACAGCTGTAAAAGCCTCCTTAGATACATAGGATGTACTGGCTGACCCAGTGTTGACAGAGCCCCCAGCAATACCTCCTAAATTGGGCAGAGAGGAGTCCCAGGGGGTCACAGGGTGTGGCCAGTGGTTTTCACAAAGTTAATGCAGATCAGTTTTTGCATCAGGGCCAAGCCTGTGGCCACTCCAGAAAGTGCCTTGAGAACACTGCAGCCAGCTGTCACTTGCCTTGGGCCTGCAGATCACTGAGAGCCACCAAAAAAAATAATAATAAGGCGGCAGCATGAGTTGGGGTTGACCACCTGCCACCAAAAGTTTCCTAGTCTGCTGCGGGGTGTCTGCTGCTGCAGAAGCCTCCTGCAATTTGCAGGGTGGAAATGGCCTCCCAGGAGATAGTAGTGCCCCTGGCGATGCCACACTAGCTGGGCAGAGTGGGGACCCAAGGAGTCACCAAGGTGGTGCATGTGTGAATTTCACCAGATCAATGCGGTCTCAGATTAGGCCCTGTGGGGGAGAGTTCAACACAGGAACGATGGCTCCCTCCTGTAGGCCACACATGAGGTGGGCTCCACACAAGGATAATGGCAGCTGGCCCTCTAGCCCTTGTCCTGAAGCCACACAACTCAGTCTTTTCCTGTATGTCTCGGGTGCCTCTTGAGTTGCCACCCCTCCACCAGAGCCCAGGGTGAGTGCTTGCAAATGAGTCTGTGCACAGCCTCTTTAAGAGGACTCTGCGTTTCCAGACATTTCTGTCTCACTGGGACAGACAGACAGAATCCTCACTGATTTTCACTGCCAAGTGTTGTGGAGACTCCTCTTCCCAGCACAGGGGCCCTGTGCTGGGAAGCCCAGTGTGGGGCTAGGACTCCTCACTCTTCGGGGGGGACCTCCGCCATCAAGGTGTTCCTCCCAGTGCTCAACCACTACCTGTGGGTTTAGAGCCAGCCTGTTTCGCATCTCCACCCCTCCTACTAGTCTCAATATGGCCTCTTCTTTATATCCTTAATTATAAGTGTTCTGTTCAGCTAATCTTCAGATACCAGTGAGTTTTATACATTCACATTTTTTTTTTTAAATTGGGGAATTGGGGGAGGGGAACAGTGTTGGGGAATTGGGAAGGAGGGTCAGCCAAGTTGTTGCTCTTCAATCTTTGTTGTGGAGGGTGCCAGTTGCCATCTGGCTGCCCATCCGTGGCCTCTAAGCTCAAGGTGCTGTGTGCAGTCTTAGTTGCAGGTGGGCGTAGCTACCATCCCATGTGGGAGTCAAACCAACAGCCTTATTGTTAAGAGCATACGCTCTATTCACTGAGCCATCCGGGCGGCAGCTCAGTTCAAAGTGCTGAGTTCAGTCTTAGTTGTGGGTGGGCATAGCCACCATCCCATGCGGAAGTTGACCAGCAACCTTGTTGTTAAAAGCGTATGCTCTATCCACTGAGCCATCCGGGCAGCAGCTCAGCTCAAGGTGCCGAGTTCAGTCTTAGTTGCTGGCGAGTGTAGCCCACCATCGAACAGGCAGTCTTGTTGAGAGGAGCACGTGCTCTCACCAGCTGAGCCATCCTGCCACCCGTTGACAGCTCAGTGGCAGCTCAGCTCAGGCGCAGTGTCACTGGCCCATGTGGGAATCAAACCGGCGGCTCTGCCTCTCAGAGCTGGCGCTCTTAAGCTAACTCTTAACCAACTGAGCCACTTGGCCGGCCCCATTCACATATTTTTACATTGTTAATTAGTACCCTTTCATTTCAGCTTGAAGAACACCCTTTAACATTTCTTATAATGCACATCCAGTGGTGATGAACTTCTTAAACTTTTGTTTGTTTGGGGAAAGTATCTCTCCATTTCTGCAGGACAGAACTGCTAAATCCAGTATTTCTGGTTGGCAGGTTTTTCTTTCAATATTTTGAATATATCATACCCTTCTCTCCAGGCCTGCAACATTTCTGAGATGTCCACTGGTAGCTTTATGAGGGTTTCCTTGTGTATGACAAGTGCCTTTTCTCTTGCTGCTTGAAAGCAAGAGAAATTAGAATTCTCTAATTCTTTGATTTTTAACAGTTTGATAATAACATGTCTCTAAGAAGTTCTCTTTGGGTTGTATTTGTTTGGGGTCTTTTTAGCTTCATGTACCTAGATGTCTACATTCTCCCCATATTTGGAGTGTTTTTAACCATTATTTTTTTAGATAGACTTTCTGTATTTTCTCTCTCTTCTCTAACTTTGACTTCACTAATGCGTATATTGTCTCAGTTGATGGTGTCCCATAAGTCTTGTAGGCTTTTTCTACTCTTTTTGTCCTCTGAATGCATAATTTCAAATGACCTATCTTCAAGTTCAAGTGCACTGATTCTTTCCTCTGCTTGATTGAATCTGCTTTTGAAGCTCTCTATTGAATTTTTCAGAAGTCATTGTATTCCTCAGCTCTAAGATTTCTGTTTGTTTGTTTTTCAATGGATTCTACTTCTTTGTTGAACTTCTCATTCTGTTCATGCATCATTTACCTAATTTTGTTTAGTCACCTATCTGTGTGTTCTTTTAGTTCACTGAACTTCATTTAAGAGAATTATTCTGAATTCTTGGTCAGTCAGTTCATAGGTCTCCATTTCTTTAGGTTTGGTTATTAGAGCTTTGTTAGTTTCTTTGCTGGTGTCATGTTTCCCTGATTCTTCATCATTCTTGGGTCTTTGTGTTGATATCTGTGCATTTGAGGAAGTGCTCGCCTCTTCCACTCTTTACGGGTTTGCTTCAGCAGGAAAAGACCTCCACTAATCAGCCCAGCCTGAGGCTATGAAAGGACCAACTGGTCGAGTTCACAGAAGGGCAGGCAGGGCTTGCTGACAAGGGTCTCTGGTTGGGTGGGGCCACTGGTTTAGCTCTACATTCAGGAAGGACTGCTGCCTGGGTTGCCTGGTCAGGTGGGACTAATAGCTGGGCTCCACAGACAGGTTTGGCTGCTGACTGGGCTCATAGTCAGGTGGGTTCACTGGCTGAGTTCTGCCATTAGGTGGGGCCACTGCTTGGGCTCTCGGGTCAAGTGGGACCACAGTCTGTTCCTAGGCTGGGTGGTGCTGTTCGCTGGACTCCATGTTCAGGTGTGACCAGAAGCTGTGCTACAATGTTAGGTGGGGACACAAGATGGACTCAGTGATCATGAAGGATTCTAGGCTTTGATCAACAGTCAGGCTTCCTGGTCAGGCAGGGCCACAGCCTGAGCTCTGCAGCTGGGTGGGGCTGCTGGCTTGGCTCCCTGCCAGGGCAGGGCTGCAGGCTGGACTCTGGGGAACACAGCAGGACAACTGCTCACCCTGATTGCTGGGCAGAGGGGGCCATCAGTTTGGCACCACAGGTGAGCACCACAGACCCTGCTTGCTGGGCTCTCTGACTGGCAAGATGGCCAGGAAGGACATGGTGCCATCACTATGATCTGCACACTGGATGCTGTGAGTCCCACCCGGTTTCTTTGTTCCTTGCTGATCCCAGATAGTCTAGCCTTAATTCCCCCAGTGTTTCCTTTGAGGCAAGACAGAATTTGCCTTCCCAGAGAATGCTCCAGAATGCTGGGGAAGCTGAATGTAGGCTTCAGGTTCTCTTTTCCCCACTCGAGAAACTGTGGGCCCACGGGATGCCTTCCAGTGTGGTAATGTTGCTGGCTTGGAGAAAGGGGCAATGCAGTCCAAGTGAGACCACTGCTCTTAGCCTTCTAATGTGGCTTTTCTCAGATTTGTGCTTCAAAAGAGAGTTTCAACCTCACCGCCAGACCTGTGATTTTTAGAGAGGCATTCTTGTCTATGAATAGTTGCTAACACATATTTCTGTGTTGGGAACTAGAGCCAGGCACCCCCACTTCCACCATCTTGCTGACATCATTCCCCACATCTGCTTTTAACTGACAAAATTAAGTACTTATGGCCAAGTTCTTGCCAGAGACTATGATCTCAAACTCTATTTTACTCAGTTCTTATCAAAATCTGTTATTAGAAACAATATATTTTTAAATTATCTAATATAAACAACTTTTAAAATTCCTTATTGTATTTATTATAGAGATTGTATCAAGAATATAACTCCCATAGTGTCTTTTTAGGACTAAATTTCTCTTATACAATAAAATGCAATGCTTTTCCTAATTTTTTTTTTTTTATCTTTTGAATATTGCGACTAATCAAGCTTCCCTCTTTGCTGTAGTTGATAGAAAGCCCAGAACCAAAGTTGGCCACAGCAACTATATATCACTTAATGGCATTCAAGTTTATGTACCAACCTTTACTTGAATTTTACATTATGATCTTATTTCTAATTTCCTGATATCTCATTATCCTTTGCTATTCTCTTATATATTGCAAAATATGTTTTTATAAATCACCTCAAATTCGTTTTGAAAGAAAGTTAGAGAAAATAGATAAGTAGGCAAATAGATTAAAAGGTCATTAGAAAATTTAGATTATTACTTTAAAATAACTCTCTTATTACCACTTCTTTTCTATTCCCACCACAACTATCTTACTCAAGGAAAACAGACAAGATGTTCCCTTAGGGTATCTTTGATGTTCAAGATAATATATATATATATATATATATATATATATATATATGTATATATATATTTTTTTTTTCCTCCCCATTTTCACCAATACAATAGTGAAGAAAACAGAACTTACCAGATAGACAATATGCAAATCATTCTCTAAAACAAAGCCCTTCATTGCTCTTTGGAGGTCAGCAAAAATATCTAAAGTATCAGCTGGAGAAAGTGAAGAAGAAAGAGTTGCCGAACCAAGATGTGTTGGATGATACACCGTTTCTGGTTTGGGTGTGGGGGTAGGAAAATAAAAGATCAGATGTTAAAAATAAAACAACACATTGTCTTTCTGTATTGTGTAATTAACCTTCTAGGCTTTGACAAATTTTACAAACAGAATCTTGACCAAATGCATAGATATTTCTGAGCAGGCTCTCTGCTAATTATCTGTGTTGCTGAACACAACACTGACTTACTAAATAAATATGAGTTGATATACTCCTTGAAAAATCAGTTTCCTTTTATACTGCTTGAAAAGCCAATTTCATTTTACTAAGCAGTTGTACACATTCTAAGTCATGAAGGATGAAAACGTGAGTAAATTGCAACGAAGAAGTCATAGCTACCTTCTGTTCCATCACTAGCTTCAGTAGCCTGGATGAATTCATTTTCTAGCAGCCACATTACACAGGCCTCAATTGCTCCAAGTTGAACAGGATCTTGATGTCTCTGAATTCCCTGCTTCCCTTCTTTCATACTTGCAGCCAAAAATGTGCAAGAAGCATAAGTCTGCATATCTTGTGATGTACTTGCCACTCCACCAACTATTATCTGATACAAGAGGGTTAAGATTTTCTGTAACTTTTTAATAAGACATGCAGGCCGTCAAGATATAAAAGAAATGAAGTGATTTTGTTCTCTTAAAACATTCTCAGCATCTTAATGCAGAGACTCTTTATTAACTCTTTTATCATCATTCATTATAAACGTAGATAACACCTACTGTCAACATGAAAAGTTTTCCTTAAAAGTAGATACAACATTTTCTCATTAATGAAAATAAGTGAATCATTACCTATCTGAAATGTGGAAACTAACAACACATATAAAGGAGGTATTGATGGCTCATGGCCATGAGCCGAATCAACTCTTCTCATCCTTCCTTCCGAAATATGTGGGCATAGATGATTGCTAGTACTGAATACATCCTACCCAGAAGAGCGGTTGGGAACAGGTGTAGAAAAATATGAAGTCAGTTTTGTTTTGTGGATATAATTTTCACACGACTATTCTATTATATATACTAATTTACCCCTTGCCTTCTTTCATTTAGTATATATTGGAAAAATACCAAATCATCCTAAACAGAGTTATCTTAGTTTTTCCACGACTTATTTAGTAATTAATAATACTTCGGTTGTTTCCAGTTTTTTTCTTATTACCAATAATGCTATAATAAACATTTGTGTACATTAATTTGATGCAATTTCACAAATACATTCCTAGATAAAATTCCTAAATGTGGATTTGCTGGATAAATGGCTATATGCTTTTTTTTTTTTTTTAAATCTTGTAGGTATGAACAAGTTGCCCTCCAAAAGAGTTTCAGCAGTATATGAGAATGGCTACTTTCTTCATCTTTACCAATCCTATGTTATTACTTTCTTTTTTCCAAACTGAGAGCTAAAAAGGGGGGGGGGGAGACAAAGTATGAGTATAGGCACCAGTACCCCCAGTACCAGTACTGAAGCCAATTGACATGCTCATATGTGAATAGAACATGATTCTGGATGAATACATGAAACACTTAAAAAGGGTTATCTTTGAAGGCTCTGAGCAGAAAGTTTTATTTTTCACTTTAAATCTTTCTATATTGTTTGAAATTTCTAACCATGTGGATTTTTAATTTCATTTCATTTTAACGTCAACAGGTATTATCTGGATGGAGAAACTAGAGTCCATTTTGTCACCTTTTTTTAAATTCAGAAAATAATAAAGAATGTATTAAAAATAAAAAGATTGATCTAGCAGCTGTATTAAATTCCAGGAAATAACTATATAAAATAGAAGAGATTCAGACTTGGGAAGGCTATAAACAATCTCATAAAGAAACACAAAGCTAATATTTTTCACACACTAAAGGTGCATGAGTACAAGTGGTAATTTAGTGAACACTCTCTTACCTCCAGAATAGCTCTTATCATGCTTGCCGTTACTTCTTCTCCTTCTTGTCTTCTCAGACAACTTCGAACAGGTTTTAGAGACCCCTGAAGTAGAGCTATACCTTTGGATTTCTCCGAGTTCTTACAAATTAAGATACTCTCACCTATAACAAAAAAAACCAAAACAAAACAAAAAACAGACATTTGTAAAATCACAACACAGTTCCATAAGAAACCAACTAAAGAGAATTTAATTGGCTTACTAGTTTTAAAGGAAAGAATAGATTATAGTGATTGTTGTGGTCACAGAATTATTGCTAATGTTGTTGTTGTTTTTTTTTTCTGAACTTTGGATTGAAGGGGATCAGAATATGTATGCAACCCCAAAATATGCCACTTTTTTAAAATTAAGGATTATTTTGACCTGAAGGCAATTGGGAAGCAGCAAACACTGAAAAACCCTTCACCCTCTCCCAACTTGCCTAGAAGCAGGACATAAATTTCTCTTTGTGAAGGTCTCCTTCCCATCTCTCATAGCAGGAGAACAACCCACTTTGGGCTTTGATTATTCAACAAAATAGACAAACCTTTTCCAAGATTAGCAAGATTTATGAAAATGCCCAAATTAATCCTAGTATATATGTCCAGGTTCCTGCTGCCACCTTTCTGGGAAGGTACTGTATTCATATCACAATAGAGAAGTCAATTAGAATCAAGCCATTTATTTCTGACAATCTAAATTGCAAATCACTATTTTGGCACCAAACACCATCATTCTACACTGGAAGATTCCAGGAAATCCACAGAAAGATTAAAGTGTCATCAAAATAAAACACCATAAACTGTCCAGGAAATGTTAACATCATTTAGGAAATCCATAGAAGTGACAAAGATACTACACAGTCCAAAAAGCATGACCAAGTAGTTAAATCTTCACAACTGATATGAAACACTGTGTTCACACATTCCCCACTTGCTGGAAGTTCTGAGCTAAGCCATATGCCACCTTGAAATGGAACATTATTTAAGGTCAAAATCTCAGGAGTTTCCAAGACCTTAGAAATAAAGTTATCCTGGTATATTCTGGTTTTGTTTGTATATTATCTGATTTAAGGCTTGATAATTATTAGCCCAGAGCACCAGCCTTCCAATTATTCTTCCCCATAAGAAAGATAAGCACAAGCTAAGAATCTAGCAAGGCAAATAAAACCTCCTTATCTTCTATATTACCTTAAGACCCTCTGGCCCTGACAGAAGGGTATCTGTGTAAAATGAACTTACACTCCACTCTCCAGAGCTGTGAGTCTACTGAGAAATCAGAATTGGGGGAGGAGCAGAGATAGGCAGGCAGGAATAGGAAAGGATTGTTTTAGTCTCTTCCCACCACGCTTTTTAAACACATACTTCTAATCTGTGTATTTTGTAGGTAAAGTAAGAAACATCATCAGGATAAACATCTTTAATGCCTATAGTAGGGGATAGCCAATGAGTTGGAAGGTTTTTTTAATCATCAAATGTTTAGGGTTTAAAAGAGAGGCAGATCAATGGCCCTTCAGGGGTTACAGATAGATGAGTCATTTGGGGCTGAGACTGATGGCTGTCCCCTAATAGCCATTCTCTCATTCTTTCTTTAATAAAACTCCTAAGTGTCAACTGGACACATGGCCACTTGGTTAAAGATTATACTCCCCAGCCTCCTTTGCAGTTGGGGAATGTAACCATATAACTAAGTACTGGTCATCTGTATGTGAGGAGAAATACTATATGCAACTTCTTAAAGGGCAGGACATATTCCCTTTACTTCCTCATTTCCCCTTCCTGATGGCTGAAATGCAGATGTGATGACAGCAACTGGAGTAGTCATCTTATACCACAGGACAGAAATTATATTGCTGAACATGGAAAAACAAACTAGAAGACGAGGTCCCTGACATTGGAGTCACTGTATCAGCTCCAGGTTACTTACAATTGTACTGTTATGTGATAAGAAATTAACTTCTACCATGTTTAAGCACCTATTGTGTTGGCTTTTGTTACAGCAGTGAACTTATATTCTAATTAATTCAGCCACCAATAAATCATAGTCGATTCTTATTATGTCTGGTAGTTACATTCTATAAAGTCACCACAAACAGTGAATTAGGGAATACTGAACCATTGGTCCTAGGGGAAATACAGGGTTAGCTTCAAGCAAGCCCCTGGACTCAACATTTTCATTAGTCAATCAATACAAAATCTTGTTTTATGTGTGTTTCTGTTTAAAGAGACCTTATTTAATATATATTGTTGGTTTATTAACATTAAACTCACAGCCAACAGTACTATATCTCATGGCTGAACAAAGCTTATTAACACACTTATTTTCTGTATAGGGCACATCACAGCCCTCTTCCACTTCAGAACACTAGATAATCGCACTTCAGCACTATGCTTGGGGGTCACTTTAAACAGCTAAATCACCCAAACACCCCTAAATATGAAAAGTGTGGCACTAAAAGCCTTGAAAAGGATGCTTGTTTACAGTATGAGAGCTAAAACAAGAAGGTAGAATGTCACCTTGTTGACAGGGTGCTTGTTGCAGGGAACGTGTGCTTCCAGAGACTCAAATTTTTCATCGCTCTGCATATGTCTATGAAAGCCCCACAAGTATGGATTTGGGGGTTATGAATAAATTTTAGTAAGTGAGCAAATTCACAAATATTAAATCCATGCATAGTGAGTATTAACTGTATTTAGGGACTTCACATGACAAGTCAAGTTATTCTGAAAACCCCTTCCTCTGTGTACTACCCAGTTTTTTGTGCCTAGAATATCCCACCTATTTTCCCACTAAGACTTTCCCTCTTCTCCTGGATATCCTAATTTCTCTTCAGTAGTCACGGAACTGTTTGTCTGTTTACTTTACATATAGTATAATATTGGAGTCAAAAAACGACATCCTAGAGAAGATAAAGTGACAGAGAATGTTCCTTTGGTTCTTGATGTTAGAAGACTCAGAACAATTTAGCCACACCCAGAATAATGTAGGAGGTTAGAAATAATATTTGCTGCTATCTTGATATTTAATTCAAACAAGTCTCTTCCTCACTGCTTAAGACAAAACTTTTGTTTGGACTGCTGGTAACATTATCATTATTTGCTGAGGCAAGATAAGAAACTGAGAAGGTTGTTTTCACAGACAGCACCAATTTAGAGAGAAAAAGATGGTATGTGAAGTTCCTATTCCCAAAGTGTGAGAGTACTTCCCAGCTCCTAGCATCCCTATTTGAACACTCTCTTAAACCAGCTGCCTAAGCAGAACTGATATCCATGAAAATTACTCCTTTCATTAGCACTAAATAATAGACTATATTGGAAATTAAAAATCATATTCTAGCTAATGTGATAAATTATCTTAACATAATACTGAATTTCACTGTATATAATACAAAAGAAAATTTTAATTCTATATTAATAGAAAATCAATGGTTGACAACATGAAAATTATAACTTATACTTATTATAAATATTAAATAAATTAAAAAAGATGACATTAGTGCTTTGGATAACAAGCACTACATTATGAGAAATGTGTTGCCAGGCACTAGTAAAATTTCAACTAGAATGACACTGTCCTTAGCAATGCTATTATAATTAAGTTCAAACTCACCTACTGTGTCTACTCCTTTCCTGCCAGCACGACCAACCATCTGCTTATAAGTAAGAATATCTAGAGTTCGACCACTGAAAATAGGAGTCCGAATAATGACACGACGTGCAGGTAAATTCACCCCAGATGAAAGAGTAGAAGTTGCTGCCAAGACCCGAATCTGACCTTGACGGAAGGCTCCTTCAATGATATCCCTCTCCTCAAAAGTAAGACCTAAAAAAGGGAAATTACAATAACATGCACAGTTGGCCCTTGAACAACATGGGGGTTATGGGCACAGACCCCACATGTAGTGGAAAATCTGTGTATAACTTTTGACTCCCCAAAAACTTAACTACTAATAGCCTACTGTTGACTGGAAACCTTACCAATGGTATAAAATCGATTAATGCATATTTTGTATGTTATATGTATTATATACTACATTCTTACAATAAAGTAAGCTAGAGAAAATAAAATAATATTTTTAAAATCATAAGGAAGGGAAAATACATTTACAGTACTGTACTGTATCTATCGATACCATAAGTTTATACCATGTTTACAAGATGAATTCTCAGTACCTACATCAATATTGTCTTATATGATACAAAACATGTAGATATTTTATGTATTGCTTACACAAGACATCAATAATAAAAAGATAATGTGAAAAAGAAATTCATACTTAATTACAAGTATCAGGATTCATGCAACGATAACAAAGCAGCAAAGATTGCTTCATAGCAGTCTAGTGTAATCAATATGTTGCTTCACGGTAGTCTAGCCTACTCATCAATGAATGAACTTATAAAATTTTTATGGCATACAGTAATATAGTCATATTCATAATACAGTATTTGGAAACACTGTTACAGTTTTTTAAAAACCACTGATGTGTAATGATAAGCTGATACAGTTTCTCCAATTATGAGAGAGGAACACAGTATGAGTACAGTAATGTAATTCTTTGAAAGCAACTATAAAACAGTAAAAAACTAACACATTATTAATTTTATATTAAATGTCACTCACCTTATACCTAAGGATAGGCTATCCATTTCAATACAAGTCTTGCACACAATATTCTACACGATGAATACTTAGGTGATGATGGTGGTGATGGTGATTATGACACAAAAATGTCCAAGACAGTTCTTGCTGTACAGTTATTGGATTTTCACATGAAGACACTCACTCACATACACAACAGATAAGTATATTAAATGTATGACATGATGATTATTTACTATACATTAAGTGGAAATGGATCATCATAAAGATCTTCATCTTCGTCAGCATCTTGTTGGGTAGGCTGAGGAGAACGAAGAGGAGGTAGAACGGGAGGCAGGAGATACAGGCACACTCAGTGTAACTTGACAGAAATACACTGTAATTTCTGTCTGGCTTTTTTGCTTTCTCACTTCTCTAAAAATGTTTCTATACAGTACCACTCCTTCTACTGTTTGCTTTATTTAGTTCCAGTGCCCACATCATAGAAGGGTCCATGTCGTAAAAGAAGTGAAAAGCCGTCTTAAATAATTGGAATCCTTCTGTCAGGCTGTTTAATGTCAATTTGTTTTCTGGCACTGCTTCTTCTACGTCTTCTTCCTCATTGTCTGGCACTGGTTCTGAAGCACTCATCTCCATCAAGTCATCTTCTTCAACATCCGTATCTTGAAACCCTTCACCCCTCACCCTTTTTGCCATATCCACAATCTCTTTCATGATTTCCTTGATTGGCTCAGCCATAAATCCTGTGAAGACATGCACAACAACTGGACACATTTTTCTCCAACAGGAATTTATTGTTTCTGCTTGATGGCTTTCACAGCTTTTTCTATAACAATGGCATTTTCAATGCTGTGAGTCTTCCAGACTTTTCATCATGTTTTTTTTATCAGAGTTTTCTTCCAAAGTACTGACAATCTTTTCCATAGAATATCATGTGTAATGAGCTGTAAAGGTCCTTATGACCCACTGATCTAGAGGTTGAATTAGAGATGTTGTGTTTGGAGGCAAGTAGACCTCAATGCCTTTGGTGTTGAACTCATGAGTTTCTGGGTGACCAGGGCCATTATCCAATATCAAAAGAACTTTCAAAGGCAGTTCCTTACTGGCAAGGTACTTCCTGACTTCAGAGACAGGGCATCGATGAACCCAATCCAGAAAAAGCGTTCTCACTATCCAGGTCTTATACAACCAAAAGACTGACAGCTGGTGTGTATCTTTTCCCTTCAAGGCTCAGGGTTAGCAGCTTTATAGAAAAGGGCAGTCCTACTCATGAGCCCGACTGCATGTGCACAAAACAATAGAGTTAGCCTGTCCCTTCCTGCCCTCAATCATGGTGCTCATTTCTCTTCCTTACTAATAAATGTCCTTTGTGGCATTTTTTTTTCCAGATTAGGGTACTTTAATCTGCATTAAAAACCTGTTCAGACAGATATCCTTTCTCAATGACTTTCTTCACGGAGTCTGGGTTGGCAGAACCGCTTCTCCTGTTATCTTGACATTTTTTAAAGACAAACCTCTTTCTAAAATTATCAGACTTTTTCTGGCATTAAATTCTCCAGCTTTAGATCCTTCACCTTTATTTTGCTTTAAGTTGGCATATCATGACTTCACTTTTTCTCAAATCATATTAGAATCTATAGGTATGCCTTTCTTATAGCAATCCTGCCCCCACATAATAGCTGTATTTTCAATACATGATAAAAAGGTATTTCACAAAAAGTGCAGGGTTTTCACGCCTGCTGGCATAACTGCAGCAAAGGCTTCATGAATTTCTTTTTCTTTCTTTACAATGGTCCTTATGTTAGATCCATTTATCTTGAAATGGTGGGCAAAGCAGCTGCAGATCTCAGTCTACAGTACATATCAAGTACTCAGCTTGGCCTTGTAATGTCATGACTTTTCTCTGCTTCTCACAGCACTTCCAGCATTACTAGTGGCACTTCATATGAGTCCCATGGTGCTAATCAGGTTTACAGTATTGTACTAAACACAATGAAAATACGCAAGAACGATGAGAGGCCATTTTTTACTGTGATACCCAATTTACTGCAGAGACAAACTGCTCACAAGGAGATGATGAGCATCACAGGGCATTTTAAGCAGCTACTCACGACACTTGAGTTCATTGCAATGGCAATCGAAGGTGACTACAAAATTATTACAGTAGTAAAGTATGTATTACAGTTAATTTTATGCATTTATGGCTTAATACTGCATCTTTACATTTGTTTACATTTCTCTCGACTATGAATGGTGCCATGTATGGTCTGTGTTCATATGCATAAGTTTTGATAAATTTTAATTTTTTATGTTTGTGTATATTTTGATATTAAATAATAAAATAGACTAGTATCTAAATATATTTTATGTATTCATGACATACCTAGCTTTTTCTTAATTTTTGTGATATTTCTAAGCTACGTGGTTCATCTGTGACTTTTTTTCAAATTGTAGCAAATCTCCAAAAAATTTTCCAATATATTTACTGAAAAAAATCTGCATACAAGTGGACACATGCAGTTCAAACCCATGTTGTGCAAGGGTCAACTGTGTGTGTGTGTGTGTGTGTGTGTGTGTGTGTATGTGTGTGTATATATTTAAAATTTTCTTTATATATAGCATAATAAAAATGTTAAATAAATTGAAAAGGTTAAATTCCTAATCTTAGAAACTATATGTTCTTTATTTATTATTTTTATTAAATGTATTGGGGTGACATGAGTTAATAAGATTATCTAGGTTTCAAGTGTACAATTCTATAATACATTATCTGTATATTGCACTGTGCGTTCAACACCCAAAGTCATGTCTCCTTCTGTCACTATGTATTTGACCCCCCTCATCCTCTTCTCTCTACTCCCTTCTAGTATTTATATACTGTACAGATAAGTAAACCTAAACATGTTTGTTTTACTCTAATTTAGTCTTAACCACACAATTTCTTAAAATGAAATCTAAGAGTATTAAGTGTGGTTAACAAGAAATCAAATGAACATAAATACAAAAATGAAGAAATTGTGAGGATTTTTGGAGGGGGCTTCTTAATAACAGGTTATAAATATGAATACCTGCATGATGAAATGCCACTCCCCATGGTACAGTTTTTTGTAATACAGAGTCCAGTCCTGAAGGTGAACGTTTTAACTCATCAATCACTTCTAGGAGGCCCTTTTGTTCTAGTAACACTGGTGAAAGTTCAGTTGATCTTACCGATCCTGTTACAAAAAAAAAAAAAAAATTATCAACACTGTTCATCTGTCTGGAATTATTTAAGCGCTATCTGCATAAGTCATCGCAGAGCTAAACACTAGAACAAGAGTTCTGAAACTACTACATACAATAATCACCTGGACATCTTTTAAAAATACTGATGTCTGGCTCTCACCCCTGGACATTGTGATATAATCAGGTACAACCCAGACATAAGGAATTTTAATCTCCCCAGGTAATTCTAATGTGCACTAAAGTTTAGGAAACACTGTATTAAAGTGAGATCAAGCCCATAGAAGGGGACCAAAGGAACCAGCTGAAGGAAGGAGAGGATTATAGATACTGACTACCACACAGAGCCTAAAAATCAAAATCTTTGCTCAAAGTGTGTCTCACAATCAGCAATGTCAGAATCATCTAGAAGCCTAACTCTATGTGACAATTTTTCTAGCCTCATTGGCACCAATGTGGTAATTAATCACATATTACCTTCTGTTTTTGTCTCTCTGTGTAAGCTTCTCCCCCAGTAAGGCCTTAACTTTTTTAGATGTAGGAATTATGTCTTCTCAAAGAATTTCCCAGAGTTTTGAATTTCTGAACAAGTAAAACGTCTCATAAAATATATTCTTATTTTTGAATTTTTTTTTTTTTTGGCTGAGCCATCCTGCCACCTGTTGGCAGTTCAGCTCGGGCTGGGACTCAAACCACTGTTGCTCAGAGCTTGCACTCTTGAGAGAGCTCTTAACCAACTGAGCCACTTGGCCGGCCTCCAAGAAAAGTCACTAACAAAAAATATTAGTAAGGATAATTTCAGAAATTATACATCAGCTTTATGAAAAACATACAGGCTTGTCTTTACATTTCTGGTGAAAATTTCATAATAGCTCAGGCTCCAGTCCAATCATTAGGATTTGGGAACACTGCTATAAATCAAAATAAAAGAGCCTCTAGCAAAGAAAATAAGATAAGATTCTGGTTGTTAAGGAATATAAGTTATCATGGTACAATATAAGGAATATAAGTTGGCAGAGTACAGAAAATATTGATTAAGAGAGAAGTAGAAAAGATATTATAATGTTGGACCGGAGCCTACCCAATATAAACTTCAGGCAATGTTTGCTTATTGGAGCTTGGCTTGAGATCGCCATCACCCACCCTCATGATGCCACTGGCATAACGAAGTCATAAGTTACCCTAGTATACTGTGACCAGAACTGGTCTCTGTCTTTCCTATACTTACCTTGGACCCCAAAGGACCATAGGCTAGTAAAAGTGGTGAGGGAAGAGTGCTCATCCTAAAATCAATAAAAATATATACTAATGGTTATAGCCATACACTAGATCACTACTTAGCCATAAAAAATGGAACAAATCGATAAATGTAACAACCTGGATGAATCTTAAAAATATTATGCAGAGTGAAAGAAGACAGACACAAAAGACACATACATACTATACGACTTCATTTATACAAAATCTTAGAAAAGGCACAATTAATCTAGAATGATAGAAAGCAAATCAGTGGTTGCCTAGGGCTGAGAATAGAGGGAAATGGCAAAAAAGCAAAAGAGAAGATTTTAGGGTAATAGAAATGTTCCTATAGTGGGAGTTAAACGGGTGCATACATTTGTTATGATTGATTAAATTATACACTTCAAATGGGTACATTTTATTGTACATAAATTTATTGTACAAAATTATACTTCAATTAAGTTGATTTTAAAATACATATATATGTGTATTACGTATATGTATGTGTAATTTTTTTTTAGAGTTGGAGTTTGTAAATATTAAGATATGGCTGCTCACCCCAGAAAAATGTGCATATGTGAAGTTTTATATACAATTTAGGGGCCTCAAAGATCAACCTCTCAAAGCCCATAGATCCCAGATGAAGAACCTGGTACATACCTGTCTACATCCAGTATTCTAAAATCTGAAGATTAGCCTGAATGTAAGTACACATTGTCTATAATGAGGATAAGAAGAAGATTAGTTACAAAAGCATAGTTTTGTAAGGAGTGCCCAGTGGGCAGGTGGCGGCCATGAGGAAAGAGCCATGCTTTGCTAATATAATCATTAACATTACTTTCAAGAAAATGTATTCAGTGTGGAGGATTTCATTTCAATCAGTAACTTACCCTCAGCTTGATGCTGTAGATTGTAAAACTCATGGGCAATCATATCTGCCAGCTTCTCACACCATTTCTTTGATGGACAAAAAAGTAATACTGAATGGTCATCACGAATGGTCTCATAGCATAAACTTACAACATGGTCCTCATCTCCCTAAAAAGGAAAAAGAAATAGCCACTCTAGTGGAATTTACAAGACATTTCACATCAATTTAAAGTCATTCATTTTGTTTCATGGGGAAAGTTTTTTCTACTCAAAGACATAATAAAAATCAGGTACAAAGTCAGTAACAAAACAAAGAAAAAACAAAACAAAAAGAAATAAACCTCCTTATGATGTAAGATGAGAAGAAAATATTTTCTATTCAATTAATATTTATTGACCTTCAGGGCCGGCCGAGTGGCGCGATGGTTAAGAACTCGCTTGGGATGCCAGAGGGCCCCGGTTCGGATCCCACATATGAGGGCCAGTGACACTGC